GGACAGCCTGTACTGGCCGAGAGAGAGAGTAACATTTAGCAATATTTGAGATTTTTAAATAAGTTTATATGAAATAGCTGCTTTGTGTTACACTTTATGTTAAAAATAAAAACAGATTCGGAAAGTGGGTCAAATTCTGTAGTGCCCTATTTCAAAAAAAAATTTTACGTTTATTTTAACCAAAAATATTTGAAAAAAAATATTGTTTAAACAATTTATTAATTTACAACCAAATAGTGCACTACAACTTTTTAAGACCTTCCATATAAAAAAAGAATCATCTCAATATCTGCCATAGTTTTTGCGTTATTTGATATAAACTTTTACATTGGAACTTAGCTATGCCCAGAAACGCAAGGAACGGCCTTAAGGGTTAAATCAATTTTCTCGAAACTAACGTTTGTTGAGTTCGCCTTTTCCATCGCCAATGCCTCATATAGTTTTGATTTTTATATTATAAATCCAAATTTTTTCAATTTCGTAATTTTTTCTGTGACTATTATGTCACTATGCTATGTTCCGCACTAGTAAATTATTGGCTTAAACATCTTAATCACTCTGTCGTTAACGATCTTATACCCTTTAACACGACAACATAAAAGCAACAATCTCACCGGAACCAAAACAAAAAAGACACAAGAAGAATTTAAAGTGCCCTCATTGGTACCCACACCGTTAAATTCTGGCAAGTGTTATTATATAATAAAAACAATTTAATGTTCTTCTCAGTCAGCACTTTGTATTTTTGGAGTGGTTATTTAAAGTGATGCTCGCTCTCGCTTTGTGAATGTACGCAATTAGACGAGAACGAGAGAGAGGCATACGGTACGAAGATGCGCCTTGCTGTGTTATTTTAAGTTGGTACAAAAACAACGTTATTTTTAAAGAATAGATTCCTGTTGAGTTGAGAGTCGTGTACCTGGATGTTTCTGGACGTTGACCATTAAATTGATGTTAATGCTAGTTAGTTACTATTTTTGTGCATTATAAAATACTTTACAATTAAAGACGGTTTTTTAAAATGAGATTTTAACAAATACTGGAGAAATAAAGGCACAGCATCACAGGTATACGAGGAGCCCTCAAATTTTATTGCGCCCATCGTATACGAGGGATCAATTCAATTGAAAATAAAATGTATGCTACATGACTCGAGGTGTAATAGGGTGTTTCAATAATTTACTAAGTACATACTTGTTTATGCAACAAATTTATTTGACAAAATATATCTTAAACAGAAACATTCATATTCCAAGAAAAAAAACTAGATATAAAAAATATACAGAAAAATATACTAAATAAAAAATATACACAAAAAACAAATACCTATCTAACCGAATAAAAGCAACAATTAATCTATTAAGCCTTATCCTCTTCCTCGGATGATGACAATACTTTTTTATGATCGTATAAAATTTTACTTTCCATATTAATAATGACATTTTTAACTATTGTTTAAATAAAATATGTTTTGTCTGCATTGTTAAAGTAGATCTCGTATATATGTAGGGCGGGGAGTCCCCAAGGTAAATCTCAGCATTCCATCTGAGATCACTGTTATTCCCCTAAGCGCCGGGGATTCACCTGTTACGAAAATTGAAATTCATCCCTACTCCTACTATTACACTACAAGTAGAGTTCTTTTTCACGGCATTACAGAGAACGAGGACTAGATATCAATTAATTTTTTGATTAATATTTCTATTTCTGTAAAAAGCTAAGAGTAAAAATCCCAATTTTATTCTTGATTGCTTCAGCTGAAAAAATTCGTAGAAATGTGATCGATATCCGAAAATCCTAAATATTTTCGAAAATCCGTAGATCTACAGATAAATCCGTAGAGTTAACAACACTGCATATACTGATATTCTAAAATGAGATATTGGACGATTTTCACATTTGGTCCCATTGAAGATAGCTTCAAATGGGTTTGACAGAATGAAATATTGGTGTTTCGCAGTGTTGAAATTTACATTACAAATTAAACATACGCAATTAAAAGCAATAAGATATTTAAAAACTAATATTTAACGATTACGAAAAAAAGAAAAAGTAAATAGTTTTAAAACAGTTTTTAACAGTAAATAGTAAAATGTCTGTATAAATAATAAAATTTAAACGGCATCTGTTGCAATCTGGCAGCTGGTGGTTTGAGGGTTCTGACTCTATTGCCAAATCTATCCGCTAACCTATCAAAGGGCAATTGCCAAAAAAAATTTCTAATAATTTATTACAACTAATATCAAACGAAACAAATATTACTTCATTAATATTATATATAAGGTATAAAATTGTAGAATCCATAAAATAATATAATAAAAATGTACCTTTTAAAAGTTTATCTCTTTGTATTTGAAGCATATAACATATACATTATAAGAACATGGCAACACTGCCAACGCAATATTTCGTTCTGTGAACCTTGATTGACAGCTAATTTGAGGCTATCTTCACTGGGACCAAATGTGAAAATCGTCCGAGATATTTTAACCCTAGAATACTAACGTTTCTTTCTTTTTCTTCGAGTGCCATATCAGAACTATCCGACGTTGGCGATCGCCATTGCAAAGGCTTCTCGATCTTCTGCAATATGGAATAATTGTCCTGCATTTTCTATCTGAGTCCATTCACGAATGTTTTTTAACCAAGAAACTTGTTTTCCTCCTACACCTCTACGGCCCTCCATTTTGCCTTTAAGGATCAGTTATAATATTTTATATCGACTTCCCCTTACTATTCGCGAACTCAAGCGACAGTGCTGCCGTTTATTTGGAACTAGAGGAATTGGGATAAAAATGTAAACAAATCATCTGCTAGTTAACCTATTTCTCAATTCTCAACGTCAGTTGAATGCTTGTGGAGTTTTTTCAATTAATAAACGATTTGTTTACATTGTTTGTTTACATTGTTTGTAATTATTATATTAATTATGGAGAACAAAAAGCCTAGTAACAGAATGTGCTCAGTTCCGCAGTGTTCTGCCAGAGCAACGAAGGATATTTTTCCTTGCATTATTTTCCCCGAAATGAAATGGAAAAGAAGGAATGGGGTCGTGTACTTCGCATTGGAAAGAAAATATCAAAATATATGAATGTATGCAGTCTACATTTTACAGAAAATGATTAACCAAGTAAGTAAATATTTAAATAATCAGCCATTGTATATTCAATCCTGCATGCTATTTTAATACAAGACTTAACATATGAGTTACATATTTTTTTGTTAGACTTCTGTGGGCTTAATAGTGGTTTTATTTTCAGGTGTAACTACTCACAAAAGATTTTTAAAAAAGGATAGTATTCCATCCCGGAACCTACCAACAAGGAGCTTTGATAGATCAATAACTTCACCTCAGAAGCAGTCTAGAGTTGCAAGACTAGCTCGAAGACAAGCCCTTGTACATCAAAATAGCTGCTCAAACTCTTGTATAAAAGGTACAATATCTACATAACCTGCACAAGATGAAGAGATAAATGTAATGGAGGAAATTTTTACAGCTGCAGAAGATGATCCTAGTTTTAAGACTTATTTAATTGATAAAGGTGTACAAGTTACAGAATCAATAATAAACGAATCTAGAAAATTCACATTAGAAGATATGCTAAAAACAAATAGAGATGTGAATGCTTTCACAGGACTTCAATCAATTGTTTTACTAGATAAAATATGTTTAGCTGCCAGTGTGCTGGAAAAGAAAGATGCCAAACCATTGCACTTATCATTACGGCAGCGTATAATACTAGTATTTGTAAAGATAAAAACTAATCTTTCTTTTAGATGTTTATCTGTATTATTCAGCGTATCAGCCAATACTTGCAAAAATTACTTTCATGTGACAGTTGAAGTACTACATAAAGTATTACAACCTGCTGTACCATGGCTGGCACAGGAAACAGTTTTGAAACGAATGCCAACTTGTTTTGAAAAGTATCCCAATACCCGAATAATACTTGATTGCACAGAAATTCCTGTGGAAAAAAATAAGTGTTTAAAGTGCCGCATAATGTCCTATTCATATTATAAAGGTGATCACACACTGAAAGTAATTATTGGTATTGCACCTTCAGGTTTGATCACATTTGTAAGCCAGGTATATGGGGGTAGAACTTCAGATAAGGAAATTTTTGTGCAATCGAATATAATGGACAAGTTAATCCCTAATGTGGATGCAATAATGGTTGACAAAGGATTCTTAATTGAAGATGAGTGCTTGGAAAATAATATAAAATTGCTACGTCCACCATTTCAAGGCAAAAACAAGCAATTCTCAGCACAAGATGCATTATCAACTGCTGAGATAGCTGCAGCTCGTGTTCATGTTGAAAGGACAATTCAACGTATGAAGGGTTTTAAAGTACTTAAAGGACGAATCAATTTATATATGGTTCCATATATGGATTCAATTGTAAATATTATTGCAGGAATTGTAAATCTTTCCACACCAATTCTTAATTTTGATAAATACACAATTTAAGTTGTTTTAAAATTATATTTTTTATTGTTTGTTAATATTGTATTTCTTATACTCTAATAAAAAGCTAAAAAAATCAAATATAACTAAAATTTATCATAATCATACATATTACATAAAACAGGTAAAATTTTATAAAAATATGCATTTTTAATTACTGCTAACATCTCTCCAGTGAAGTGGGGGTCAAATGGTATTTCAATTATGGCACTGGATTTGTCATACGAGCAATATATAACAAAGTGACAGAGGTCTAATCCACTTAATAACATCTGCAATTGTACTTGGCCATAATATTGATGGTTAGTTTTTAAACTTAACGTTTTCTCTTGTAAAGTATTAGTCAGGTATTTTAACTCCTTTATTACATCACAGCAAGTTCGGGTTTTGCCTGCTAAAGGACACTTCACCTCTACACAAAATTTTTTATCAACTATTCCATCAATACTTACACCCAACCATGAAGCACTTGATGGTACAATAATGCCAATATGGTCAACTTTGTTGCCTGATTGTTGTTGATAGGCATTTAGAGCTTCTCTTTCAAATTTTTTTCCATGACGAGTTGCAATGTTACCCTTAAAGTGAGTGTCAAATAGTGACTTTTCAAAACCCAGTTTGGGTTTTTATTTTTACAATAAGTGTAAACATTGTAACATGTAGTTCCAGTAATCCTCATTCTTCGAGCATTCCGCCACACTTCACCAGACTGAGAAATAGTTGCCCTACATAAATTTATACTATTTTCATGATTAACAAATATTTCTTTATTATAGAAGTGCACTAAATTATCACTCAGTTCTATTGTGCAACTCATAATTTTGTCAAACATAGGTAACAACTTATTGTTACTAAAAATGTCGTGGTACATAGCTAATTGTAATAAATTAGTTTGTGATACTTCTACTAAATTAGAAGTTTCACTGTTTGATAAACTTAATTGCAGTTCTGATCCTTCTGCACCAGAAAGTAGAATGTCTAAAACACTGCCCTCAGCATTACTATCGAGACGACTTTCTAGTGCGGCTTGAGTATAAGTTTTCCCCATGTGGCAGAAACCATTTATAGGAGTTGGTTTTTCATATACCATATTCTCTTTTTTCAATTTTCCCCATTGTTGTGTTGTATCTGTACTACTTAGGTCTTCTAAGTTCTGAATGGAGCATCTACAACAAAAATAACAGGTAATGTCAATTCTATAACATATATACAAAAATAATTATGTATTTTTACCGAAAAACAAAGAGCAAAACAGCAACAACGTGTTTGCATTTCCCAGAGGCTCCAGCTTTACAGGTACACTAGCAATTGAAAGTCTTTTTCGAATCAGTTGACTTGATTTGGATTTGAATTTGATGCGGTAATCCTTTCAGATTGCTGGTTTGCAAACATAAAGCCTCAAGTTTCACCTGATCTTCACTTTTTGATGTTATCCCGCACATTATTATGTGATTGGCATCGAGCACTGCTTGTCCTTTAAAGGTCTTTTTGAATCGCCCACAATATTAATTACATCAACAAACGTTATCCCAATTACATCCGCCATATTGATACAACTGCACTGCCACCTATAGTCGATTGAGTTCGCGAATATGTCCCAGATAAGACATTTTTCGATATTTAACAGTCTTTAGCAGTTCTCTATCTTTGTTGACGCTCCTTAGTACTTCTTCATTAGTTTTCCTTGCTGTCTAAGTTCTTGCTGTCAAAGACTCACGAAGAGTTGTAGCGCCATTGATGATGATGATAATGTACATCAAGGGGTGAGAAACCTGAGACAATATAATCAATTATGGTAGATGTTATGCCAAAATGGATAGCATGCGGCATAGTAACGTTAAATATTTAATGTTACAAATGATTCTTGTTTATTTTTTGTCAAATTCTAATAATTTTCACAAATAGAACCAGTTTGCTTTCCCAAAGCTATTATTAACCTTTGTATATTGATTAATTAAAAACTAATTTAATACACAATTGGATATTTTCCTCTTTAATTTATAACTCATTTGGAATTGTTTGAAAACCAATTAGTCTGTTGATAAGTATTATATGCAAAGTAACCCAAAAGTAACTACTTTTCGATATATTTGGGTAGTAATTGATAAATAGAATGTGAAATTTAAATTAACTTTTGTATTTACTTGTTAATGATAGTTTCTATTATTTACTGGTTTCTTTTGTGTACTTACTCATAAATTCTAGCTTTCTCTTTCAGGTAAATGATATTTGCACATACTTCACATACTAGATACCTCAAACACTAGAATCTATAAAATCAGAATTCCCGCCATAGTCTAGAACACCTTCTTTTATAAACACTTCCCTTTGTAAATGTAATAAGCTACAAACAAATAATATCATTTTTCGACAAGCTTTTAATGATATTATGAATACATTCCACTATGATAAGGTGCTTTATACCGATACATCCCAAAACGCAGATGAAATTGGCTGTTCTGTCACTACAGTTAATACAGTATTAGGACAATAGCGAATATCCAACGAATGTAGCGTGAAAATAAAATTAAAAAGAATTGAACTCAGAAAACAACAACCAAAAATTAACATAAGAATGCTACAAAACGAAGAAATAACAAACGAAATAAAAAATAATGTGAATGTTAATATGTAAAAAACACTAACTGACAACAAAGAAATTAGGGATGTAAATAAAAAGTGGTGTAATATAAAAAACACATTACTGAAACCAGTTCAAGAAAGTTTAATAGAACATAAATCAGAGGCTAAAAAACACTGAATGACAGAAGAAATACTATTACTGATGGAAGAAAGAAGGAAATATAAAGGAAAAGATCTACAGAAGTATAAAGAAATACAATGAAAAATTAAGGAAAAAATCAAAACAGCTAAGGAAATCTATTTGATGAAAGAATGTAAAGAGATAGAAGAACTAGAAACAAAATATTATATGAGAAATATGCACAAAAAAATTAGAGAAGTGACTGGAATGGGTCGAAATAGACAGCAAGGACACATAAAAGACAAAAAAGGAGTACTACTAGTAGATTTACCAGAGAAGTTAAGGCGATGGGAGGAGTACGTTAAAGAACTTTTCCAAGATGAAAGAGGTGAAATGCAGAAAATACAAGAATTAAATCCTTTAGAGATACAGAAGATCACGATAGATGAAATCAAATATGCTATCAAAAACTCTAAAGACAATAAGGCAGCTGGATTAGATGAAATACCAGTAGAACTCTTAAAACTAGTGGAAGAGGACAACTTGGAAGTATTGGCAGATTTATTCAACACGGTGTACGATACGGGAATAATACCACAGAAGTGGCTAAAGTCAGCATTTATAACCATCCCTAAAAAACAAGCAGCAAAAGAGTGCTCTGATTATCAAACACTGAGCCTCATGAGTCATACTTTAAAAGTTCTGCTAAAAATAATACATAAGAGAATATACGAAAGGCTAGAGGAGGATATTAGCGAGACGCAGTTCGGGTTCCGAAATGGAATGGGTACTCGAGAAGGACTATTTACCATCAACATATTAATTCAGCGATGTAGGGATGTAAATGTTGATCTACACTTGTGCTTCGTTGACTACGAAAAAGCTTTCGATAAAGTAAGACATGAAAAACTAATATCAATACTTACGAACAAGCGCATTGACAGTAAAATCATAAATATAGTGCAAACATTATATTGGAACCAAAGTGCCATACTTCAAATTGATGGGCAACACTCAGAAGAAATGAGGATCTGTAGAGGAGTTAGACTGGGATGTGTGTTATCACCACTTTTGTTTAATTTATATTCTGAAGAAATTTTCCAAAACACGCTCAATAATATCGAAGCGGGAGTCACCGTTAACGGAAAATGAATTAATAATTTAAGATATGCAGACGACACTGTGATCATAGCAACAAGTATAGAGGATCTACAACATCTTATCGAAAGCTTGAGTATAAATAGTGCTGAGATGGGAATTACTATAAACACTAAAAAAACGAAGTACATGCTGATTACAAAAAGGCCACAAAATATACATCACCTATTGACAATAAATGGTAACGTGATAGAACAAGTAGAAAAATATCAGTATTTGGGAACTTTGACCAATGAAACCAATGATCATACTGTAGAAATAAACAGACGAATAGAGATTGCCAGATCAGCATTTATACGAATGAAGCCACTCCTAACGTGCAAAAATCTAAATTTGGAGATCAGTTTACGTACCATTCGCTGTTATATATTTTCAATATTATTATATGGAGCTGAGACTTGGACATTAAAAAAATGTAATTTAAAAAGAATCGAGGCCTTCGAACTCTGGTTATACCGCAGAGTATTGAAAATATCATGGACTGATCGAATTACAAATAAAGAAGTACTGGAGAGGGTTGGTAAAGAAACAGAACTAATCACCACTATACAAACCAGAAAACTGGAATACCTAGGCCACGTGATGAGGGGACCAAAATATGAAATTTTGAGACTGATAATACAGGGAAAGATTCAAGGAAGAAGATCTGTTGGCCGAAGGCAGAACTCATGGTTAAATAATCTACGTAATTGGTACCAATGCAGATCGATTGATTTGTTTAGAGCAGCAAGTTCTAAAATAAAAATAGACATTATGATTGCCAACCTCCGTAGGGAGACGGCACTCTAAGAAGAAGAACGAATGTAGCGTGTTTTTAGAACTCTTCAGCATTTCAAAAGCTCTCGAGTTTCCTTTTGACAATTATCAAAGTGTAGCTGTGTGCACCTATTCCTTATCCGCAATTAATTCGTTAGAAAATATTTTTAATCAACATCACATAGTGCAAAAAATACTAGAATCGATCCATGTCCACACTTCCCAATGGACTTCAATAACAATAATGGGTGTATATCGGCATCTAAGAAAATGAGATGGCTGACAGCGCTGCAATCAGCGCATCTACAATATACAGCTCCAAGAAGGTATAAAAACAAAATTCACAAGGAACATCCAAGATTGGTTCATCAAAGACAAAAAGCTCAGTTAAATACAGCCTAATGTTAACGGCTTTTTATCCCTAGCATCCCTGAACACAAAAGAGAAGATAGCAATACAAGGATTGAGAATAGGAACACACGTTTGACACACGGTCATCTTATATCCTCTACAGCAGGGGTCACCAATTATATTCCCTGAGGGTCTGTTTCAAAAAACTACTACCAGCCATGACTTTAGATGAAGAAGATGATCTTTAAAGTCATCTTTAAAACACGCGCGTTTTTGAAAGTTGAATTTAAACACGCTGAGGCGTACTTTAAATAAGCAAAATGGGGCATCAATAAAAAAATATTATAAAAACGTTGTTGCCTTGCTCATACAGTTTCTTTATCATTTCCTGTATTTAAATTCGCATAATTGCGTTTTACAAACAATCTTTACAAAAATAATATCAATCCGAATCTTTCCTTGACCAACTTCAGCCTCGCATTTGCTCTAACTTCGAGATAAAAATCACACAAGAAGGAAAAACGTTAACTCATTATCGAAATTAATTAATAAAATAGTTATCACAATTATTAGTGTTTCCTCCTCTCGGAGGAAGTTCTGATTCCATTTTCGATAATTACAGTAAGCCTAATCTCCAACATCGGCAAATGTGGTTATTTTAATAAATTTAGCCAGTTATCTTGATCGTACGACCCACATAAAAACAAATTACATTGAATTTTAGCAAATTAAAAGAAGGAGGAGTTAGAAGAAATTATTTATTATAATAGTATGCAAAAATTGGTTGGTCTTCAAAAATTTTTTTATTTTATTAATATTAGCAATGTAAGAGTCTATTTATTAGGTAGTAAGAGATTTCTGACTGCCTAATAACTACAGGATCACGTCAAATAATTTATATTTCTTGCAGAACATGTAGTTAGTGCCATGTGTCAGTTCTGACCACCCTTCATTCTCATATATTTCTTAATGCACCCATTTTCTCCTTAATCCAAGTTTTAGATGCACATGTTATATAAAAAAAAGTATATTAGTATGTATTTTCAAAAAACAACTACTTAAGAATGTCTGTTGATCAAATTAAATGAAATTTTTAAGTACGTTTTACAGCTTGTAATTATACCTGCAAGACGCAAGAAAGTTGCCTAAAGGCATGCGCAGTGCAATTGCGTGATAATCGATTTGGTGACATTTTCTCTGCAAGTTTTCATGCAATTCTAGTGGAATTTGTAGGAAGTTTGATTTTTCCACAATGTCAAATGTTATAATCACTGATTAACACGGATTCACGTGGGATTGTGATTAAGAATTTAATTTTTCCCAAGAGTTTATTGAATGTACCTTCATTCATTGGTAGAAAACTAGAGTACAACAAGTACTAGGGTACAAAACATCATCTACTTGAAAAAAATCTTTTGTTAAAAATATATTACTCCTCTTCTTCTTCAACCACCATCTCCGATCGTTCTAAATTAGTAACTAAAATGCTGGCTGCAGCAATAATCATACTTAAGGTTGCTGCTACTGCCTTTTTCCTTTTATATTTGGCTTTTTTAATATGCTTGGTATTTCGAAATTTACTAAATTTTATTTATTTTTACTGTTTTTACGATTTTTACTAAAAACACTGTAAATGGTGTTACAGAAACAGCAACAAGTAATTAAACAAAAAACAAAAGTTTAAAGTTAGTTTAAAGGTAGAAATTTCAACATTAATTGGGTCAGCAGATCTCAAAAATTTGTTCTGAGCTTTTCTGTATATTTCTTTGTTTGTAGTCAGTAAGAACGAAACTATGGATTCTATATGTTCTTAAAAAAATCCTTTTTGTTTAATCTTGCTTTTATTTATCTTTTTCCCCCTTATTCTTTAGCTTAGTTATTTGCTTTAATTTTTGCCCAGCTTTCCTCGATTCTATCGCTTTGAATGATACCTATATGTGTTTCTGTTTTGGCGGACCAGATATTTCTGTTTTGAGGTTTTTCCTTTAACCAATATGTACCAGTTTTGAGGAGCCGGAAATTCTTCCTTTCCTTTTGGTCCTTTTTGAGGTTATGTAGCATCGTAACATAATTTTTAATCTAGAAAATGTTATAACCATCTTAAAGTATAAGTCTCAGTTTTTTAAATTGCGTTGAGTTTACTCAGATATCTTCTTTTTTCGCTAAAATATCGCATTTTAAAATTTCTCAGTTTAAAAAACCTACATACCATATAGTATGATAGTAAGAGATCCCACTGCAAAATTACTAAGTTCATAAAATAGTTAATTAAACTCACATTTTTACATACACTTAAGATTAGAAGAATACATTGATAACAGATTGCCAGTCAAAAATTGGCCGCAAATATTTTTAATTCAATCCGTAAAATAGTTTCGAAACACAATTCAGATTTCTGCTTATAATCTGAGCCTTCTAAAAATTGCAAGACAAACAGACGCTGATAAAAGATGTTAAAAGGTGTTAAAAGGGACATGGGAAATCTAAAATTTGCATTCCACATTGCATTGCAAATTTTAGATTCCCCATGTCCCTTTTAACACCTTTTAACATCTTTTATCAACGTCTGTTTGCCTTGCAATTTTTAGAAGGCTCAGATTATAAGCAGAAATCTGAATTGTGTTTCGAAACTATTTTACTGATTTTATTATTAGATGTCGCTATTGCGTCCGTATTGAAGCCATTTTAGTGTTGCTTCTTAAAAGACAGAAAATATTGATTTTTCACGTTGAGAACACCTATGAATAACTGTTCTGATGAGACCTATTAGGTCGAAATACATATCAACAGATACATAGGCGCTGTTTGCGTGAAATCAAATATTTGCTGTCTTTTTCATTTTAAATTCAATTAATAGTAATTAATTTTTGAACCAAAATTTTTTTCGTTTATTTTTTTATAATAAAATAGTTATACATACAATAGACGTACATTTATGTTTTTTATATCAAATTAATGCCAATTTTCTTTAATATGATGATATAAGGTTCCTGGCAAAAAAATGATCGCAAATTACGGTTGCCAGCTGTTAAAACCGCGAGGTATCAAAGAAAAGTGAAAGCGAGCTAGCAGATCCTTTTTGCTTTGAATTTCACCCAGGGGAATGATTGAGGGAAATGCGAAGTCATTTTCTGCTGATTTTCCAGTTTGTTCTGTCCTGCCTTGCGTTCCTTGTTTACTTCACTGCATTTTTCAACTTTATTTTCCTTCATTCAACTTACTGTGTGTTCTTCTTCGTTACTGACTATTTGATTATGTTCTGTTCTTTCTGCTAGAACAATATCTACTGGCATATTGTTGTGGAAATTGTAGCCAATTGAGTCCTCGACTATCATTTCAATCATATTGTTTTCTTCCAAAATTTGCTGACCGTGCAGATGTCCATAACCCAGCATTTGTTCTTGATTTACCTCGTCAATGTCTTCATTGTCTTGCATATTGTTCTCAACTGCAGGAATATATTCTGCTTCTTCAACAGTTCTGTTGGTCGTAATAGATCCTTGCGATCTATAACCCCTTTGTATTTTTGGTCTATCTCGTGTTTTTGGTCCACGTCGTGGTTTTGGTCCAAATCGTGTTTTTGCTCCATTTGGTGGTTTTGTTATACCTCGTGGGTTCGGTTCACCTCTTGTAGATACTCTAGTATTGCTAGTAATTGAACTCCTGTTTTGATAATACTGATTTATTTCTTCGACTAAACTACTTTTGATAGCAGTTATTGAAAGACAGAATTTTTTTGCTCTCATAACGTTTTGCAAATTATTTTCACGAATATTTTCTACGTATAATTTAAATTCTTTATCATTTTCATTTATTTCACTCATTGGTAAATATTCTTCGGTGTGATATCATCGCTGACGACATAGTGATTATAGCGAGCACATCGAGGAACTGCAAATTATGTTGGGAGAACTAGCAGCTAGCTCCCAATACGTCGGCCTAAAAATGAATATGAAAAAAACAAAAATAATGACAAACACAGAAGACCCCAGACATATAACTATAAACGGCAGTGAGATAGAACAAATCCAGGAATATATCTACCTAGGCCAGATCCTGAGACTTGACAAAGAGAACTAAAGAGCGGAAATTACTAGAAGAGCAAGACTAGCATGGGCAGGATTTGGAAAACTTAGTTGGATACTTAAGAACCGCAAAATACCCCAATACTTGAGGAGCAAAGTGTTCAACCAATGCATCCTTTCTATCATGACATATGCATGTCAAACCTGGACCCTAACCAAGGCAAACATGAATAAACTAGCCACAACAGAAAGAATAATGAAAAGAGCAATGTTAGGTATACGACTGTCAGATAAAAAGAGGAACGACTGGGTAAGATCCAAAACAAAAGTCGAGGACATAACAACAAAAATTGCCAAACTTGAATGGAGCTTCGCGGGCTACACTGCTAGACAGAAAGACCAACGTTGAAACACTACAATACAACATTGGACACCTTACGAAAGTAAACGACCAAGAGGAAGACCACAGCTGAGATGGGTTGATGACATTAAAAGAATAGCCATAACAAATTGGAAATATGTTGCTCAGGATAGAGACCGATGGAAGGAGTTGGGAGAGGCCTATGTCCAAACATGGACGACAGGAGGCTAAGAAGAAGAAGAAGAAGTGATATCATAAATTTCTATCTCCAAGTTATGAAAAAAATATTTATTATTTCTTCATTTACTGGCACTCTCCTTCTCAACATATTCGTTTCAAACCGTTGAGCAAGTTTTGTGTGGTTTTTTTCCAATAATAACTAGCTTCAATTTCAGTCTGTCAAATTTCCTTTAAACTTTGACACTTTTGTCCCTTGCAATGCATCTCACATCAAACAAAGATATTTTAATCCCATTTTCACTTAAAGAAATGGCTTGGCTATCAACTTTTCTTCTTCTCGAGAAAATACTGTAGGTCTTCCTACGTTTTTCGAGTGATTTTGTTTTCATTTTTTTCCAATTGTATTACGTGGGATATCGTCTTGTTTTGAGGTCCGCCTTTCACTCAGCATGCCACTTTTAACTTGTTCTAGTACTGTTTGCAGGTGTTGCTCTGTATATCGGCTTTTCGTTCCATACCAACGGACTTTAGTATGTAGACTGTATATCTGTTTTCTGGGCATTTTGGGAAATCCTGTAAATATAAAATTATTCGCGCATTTCTCGGATTTTTAAATTGTCTTGATAATTTTGAACCAATTTCAATGTGGTGCAAAGTTTGCCTGAAATAATTTCTCAGCCTGGTCAGTCTTTGTTGCAATTTGAGGTTATTTTAAAGAAGCTTAAAGCTCTCATAAACCGAAAGTGATTTGAAATAATTATTACAATAGTTAAAACCATCTGCATACTTACTTTTTCGACAGAATTACTATAAGTAGTCACTTTAAATTATTGTTTACAGCACAGAATTTTACAGAAGGTATACAAACTCATGTTTGATACAATGCAGCGTATCAGACGGCTCAAACTTCTCGAAAGTGTCAATGTAAGAGACTTCTAATGCAATGTGTCAAAGTTATACTACCCTATAAGTACACTAATATCAAAAAAAGTAAACAGTACAAAGTAAGACCCTGTATATACTACCCCGAATGACTGTATATACATTTTCTTAAAAACCCTTCAGCAATAACCTTTTTAATATTAAATTATTAATTTAGTAAAATAAATCGATTGAAAAATCCACACACACCTCGTGTGCAACCGGCATATAAGGTTCAGATCGAATTCCAAAAATTTTACAGATACTTTACTAAGATAAAGCCGAGAATGACTTTAACAAATAGCCATATAAATGCATTTCTGAAAAGTTGTCTCATTTACAACTTTCCGAAGTTGCGTAACACGTTTGATTTGATTCAAATAAATAAATTCCTTTTCTATTTTGAAATAACCGATCGAAAGCGGCTTACGTCATTAAGTCACGCTGTTTTTTTCTTGAAGGAATTCGGATTTAATTTTTAATCCAAACAAATTGTGTCCGTTAGTCGGAGTGTTTGTATACAAATTTGTACCTGTTAGTTTTTGCTAAGTGAACAAAAAAATCAGATATTTTTTTGAGAGTTGTAATTAATGTTAGAATAGAGGTGGGCGATCATAAAATAATTGAATGGCTTTACTCAGACCGTTTGAATAAGAAGTAAATGATTTCTTTCAATATTTATTAACCATTTAATTACAATCCGTGCTAGGTACTAGTCCTCCATCGGGTACCTCCTCAGGTGGTGGATTGGGAATGGTTGATGCTGGGGAAATGATAAAAAAACTTATCAAAACGCTAAAAAATGTACTACCAGAATCGTCTGGGAAGCTCTCAAAATGTTACAAAAGAAACTTGGTACTTAATAAACGATCTTCGAAATAAAACTAACACAGCTCAAACATTTTCTCTTCCAAACCCTGAAAATCTAAATGAATAATTCGTTAATGTGAGTAAAAATATAACATCAACTATTTTGCCACAACAAGATCCTATTTCCTATCTCCCCAATTCAAAAAAGGTCACAAATTCATTCTTTATAAGACCAGTTGATAAATCTGAACTGATCCAAACAATCAGTAGTATCAAAAGCAAATCTTCCTATAGTACTGAAGAACTATCCATAAAAATTTTCTTAAATCTTTCAAAAAATGTGTTGGAAGTCCTGGTCTCATTAATTACCGATTCCTTTGAAAACGATATATTTTTATCATAAGGGTGGTGAAAAATCAAATTTCTGTAACTATAGACCTATTGCCTTACTAAAGATTCTTTCCAAAATAATTGAGAGATTTATAAAAGCCCGACTTAGGTCCTTTCTCGTTGAAAACAACATTTTATCACCAAGTCAGTTCGGTTTTTAACTAATAAATGTATCAGCAATACTGTTTTCTGTACTACATGAGGTCTATCAAGCACTAAACAATAATCTTTACACTTCCACTATTTTTTGTGACTCTTCCAAAGCTTTTAATTGTGTAAATCACGACATTTTGATAAAAAACAACTAAATTCTACGGAACTCGAGGTATTTCTTTGCATTGGTTCCAATCCTACGTGAGGAATAGGAAACAACTAGTTAGAGCAAATGATACTGTCTCTAGTCACAAAAGCATTGTTTGTGGAGTACCACAAGGTTCAGTATTGGGTCCTCTACTTTTCCTTATCTTTATAAATGACATCACTTACTTAAAAATCGATGGAATTTTTTTTCTTTTTGCTGATGATACTAGTATTACCTGGGGAAACTCTAATATTGCAACTCTTCATGTAATTATAACTTCTGATATACTTAAAATAAAAACCTGGTCTGACTCTAATTTACTTTCTTTTAACGTGGATAAGACAGTAGCATTATCCTATAAAGGAGCTATTTAACCTTTGCTTCTTAATAATAGCCAGATCTGTATCGTTGATTTTTATCGACAGCAACCTTAAATGATCCCTTCACGACTACTCCACCAGAAACTCAACCTTTGATGTGTTCAACCGATCCCAACCACTGAGTTAGTAAAGAAATAAATATTATATTCAGCAAAAAAAATATACAACCATCTCCCTTTGCAACTTAAATCTAGAACTAGTTTCCTTAAGTTCCGCAAATTGACAGAAGCCTTTCTATCTGAAAGACCATATTATTCAGTGGAAGAGTTTCTTAACGAATAACTAAGAAATTACAGTACGTTTAGGTACAAGCATCTAAAGTATTGTTATAATTTGGGTATCACATGCAGCAACTTAAACTTATTTGTAAACTAGTTTGTAAGGTTTTATTCTGCAATTTGTAATTTAGTTAAATTTTGCAATGAATTGTATATTTTATTATATTTTATTTTATGATATTGACGATTTATGTAATTTTAGTAAATTCTAATTGATATTGTTATTTTTTTTTTACTTTTTGTAAGCTTTGTCCATAAAATTGTACAACTTTTAGTGACAATAAAGCATATTTCTATTCTATCTATAATATCCGGGATGGACCAAAACTAGAACATATGTTTTGTGGATATGATACTGTGGATTGATCCACAGTGGACGACTGCCAATAACCGGTTGAAAACCAAACTCACCAACACACAAGACTAGCACGGTATTTTAACTGCCAAAAACCCCTCATGGCGAATTTGAAAACTTACCGAAGTGAACCTCAGGTGGGTAGATTAGTATTTGACATATTCCATACCTCGAAAGAGGTCAACCTTATGGATCATGTGGAAGGTAAAAACTGGATGAATCGTTAAAATATAGCAACAAGTCATTGAGACCAAATTTAAATTAAATACAAGGAGACCTACTGAAGATATTGTTATGTTTTTCTGTGGATTCAGGGATTAAGTGAAGTAAACGTAGTTTCTTCTTCTAGTTCCATGACCGTTAAAGATCGTTGGACATCATGTTGGCTACTATATTCGCTATCGTAAGTTTATTGACAGCAGCTCTAAATAACAATGTAGTTGATTTTCCATACCATTCCTTACGTAGTTTAACTGACTTTATTTTGTCACTAGACTACAAAACTCGTTAAATTACAAGTAGCATATAGTCTAAGTACATCAATTTACGCACGGGTACAGCTTTACAAGATTGTTCGCTAACACTAATCATCAAAATCTGGCTCAACGCCTTTAATAATAAAACATCTGTTCTAGAAATACCTAGCAGGTCACGATCTGCGATAACACGAATCTATCTATCTAATTAGCCTTCTTCGGTCCATCTTTGGACATAGGCCTCCCCAATCCTTTTCCATTCTTCTCTGTCTGTCGCTACGGTCATCCATCTAGAGCCCACGTGCTTCTTGATATCATCTGCCCCAGATTCTCAGATAAATTCCAGAAAAATACCGATAAAGAGGTTCTCGAACGTTGTTAAAAAACAAGTTAATTCGGCTTTTCGAATTACCCTTATACCAAGGCTGCCATTAAGGCATTGTGACACATAACATCACCCTTTTCTTTCAGACTGTTCGCCCCAAACAATATCTAAATCAATCAGGTCGGTGCATTCTGCCCTTCATACGGACACAGTATCTCTAGAAGGACAACCTTCAAGTTGACCAAATAAGACTTAGACATTTCCTTCTTTTTAATGAAATTTCCTGGCGAAATCGTTTATCTTAATCTTTCAATCCTTCTGGCGGTTGACATACTTGGGGAATGTCTCTTGTTCCGCCTCTCCTCTGGTAGATTGCCATTTGGGAGATCGATGAGAAGCTACATCTCTCGAAGCTGTTAGTGTTCTTAAATGATGTGCAATTAAAGGAAAGAATCAAAATAGTACGGTTAATTTATTAGATTGTATTCGTAGAAGAGAATAAATGTAGACGCCGATTAACAAAAACTTTCTGTCCTTACTAGAGGTCTCTAGTAGCATACTCTGGTAATTATTTTTCCTATAATTGCCATAATACTGGGTGAGTTTTGATTAGGTTTGAGTCTTCTTACAAACTATCTCTGATGACGGGTAGACCCAGAAACACGTGTTAGAGAATGGTAGGAGACAAATGTGGAACTAAATATATTAACACAAAAAGAAGGTATATATTCGTTAAATGAGATAAGGACAAACCAGGAAGACCTAGAGGAAAGAGAAAAAAGAAGAGCGGAGATAGAAAATGACATTTTTTTTAAGGGGATAGACGGAAAGGAACTATATTTAGTGACACAGACATTGTCAGAAAAGGTCATAAAAAACTACATGAGGAAAATGGACATATTGGTAGCAGAAAGGTTTGGCTCGTTTTTAGGGAAAATTACATCAGCCGACAAGCCGACAGGAGATCGAAAACGAAGTGAAGATATTAGAAGAAAATGTAACGTACAGTGTATAAATGAATGAATAACCAAATAAGCAGAATGGAGGAGACCCGCGTCATTAAAATAGCAAGAGATAAGTCACCAATAGTCAGAAGAAGTATCGGATGACCGCGCAAAAGATGGAGTGACAACCATCCATAGAGGTATTAATCCGCCAATGAACAAGCAGAATTGCTTATAAAGAGGAAGAAGAAGAAGAATATTTGTTGATTTACTGTTTTTGTTGAATACTTTCGGAAATAAAGTAGAAAAACCCATGGAAAAAATATGAACACACAGAGAGCAGGTTAAAACAAAATATCTTAAATTTTAGGACAAAAAAATTATAAAATATTGTAAGAAGCATGTTATCGATCAAGGGAAGAAATAAAAAAATTAATATAGAAGAATGGTAATCAAGTACAAGCGCTAAAATATGACCTAAATAAATAACCTTCATACCGGAACGAAGATATACTAAAACTTTAGCATGAATATTACACATATTATAATGTTTACGGTTCTCGCTAACATCCTCAAAACTCTTTTTTATGTATCAAAACAATATAGTATACCATTACTATTAACAATAGTAGAGTTTTTAACTAAAAGAACATTCTCTTCTCGAGATTTTGATCTTTCCAATCTCGAGAATCAATAGACAATCCGGTTTGAATACAAAACCGTTCGTAGTTGCTTTTCTATCTATTTATTGTAAAGCAAACGATTTATAAAGCTTTTCTTTGTCTTAATTTAGTTCACATATGCTTAATCAAAGTTGTACAATCGATTCTATTACCCTATAAATGGATCGACAGTAAATAAATAGTTGTGGTTATTTTTAGCCTCTTAAACAACAGAGCCGTATTTAGGTATGCGGTAAAATGGCCATTTAAAACATTTCAAATCATATAATAATAATATACATACATATTTTTTTAGGTTAACTAAACCATTCAAATGAGTATGGAATGTAGTCTTCTTAATTATTTCTTGCTATTACGGGAGGGATATTAACACGTTCACGACGGCATTAAATTTGTCAGTAACATTTATTGACGTTACCAGACTGGTAACACTGTCGAACTGTTCGAACGATACCAGACCTATGGGTCTGGTAAACATATCTATAAATAAATGGTTTCTGTGACTTTGTATTTGAAATTACCTTGAATCTAACACTGCCATCTCATAGTAAACACTCTAATCCATTTCTGGCAGACATAGCACCAGATTCCGATGTCCGGTAAAGTATTTACGGTATATAAAAAATATACTGATACTTATGTGACAATTTGAAATATTTTACTTTTGAAAAATAAATAAAATGATCAATTTTTATTTGAAGTAATATTAAAGTATACAAAAATATATAATAATTAAAATAGTAATGAATAATTAGATATGTCTATCATTAAAACAAGTTAAGCACAAAGCCAGTTTTTTTTCGCAATTTTCACAAAAGGTGTTTACTTTGGTCACCTTCTTGTCAGCTTCCTTACTTTTCATAGTCTGTCTCAACTTCTTGTAACAATCAACGCAATGTCGTCTACGTTTTCTACCAGGACCTTCTTCTCGTTGCAGACAATGTTTTGGTTTTGATAAGTTGGTTTCAGAAATACACTCATTTTGATTTGAAAGTTGTAATGCTAACTGTTCACGAAATGTTAGCATTATAGATAATCCAGCTGTTGATTATTGTAGAACCAAAGATTAGTTCGAAGACTACCTTACGATGCCACTTAAGACCTTTTCGTAAGGAAGAATAATAAGCTGCCATTTGGTCACTGTTAATCTACACCTTTTTTAGCTTTGTTGTAGTCTTGGATAACTTGCGTTTTAAAAATATATTCCACTGGTTCCTCCCTTGGTTTTGATCTCTTTTTCTTGCCCGTAGTGCAGAAGTTTAGGGTATGCTCAGGTTTACTGGATAACATTAATACCGATCTCTTGTCTTGCCAACGGCTTACCTTTATATTGTCCTTATTTTTGATGCCAATTATTTCATTTTTCATTAGTTTCTTTTGAACTATTCCCTTTGGAATACCTTTCCGATTACTTCTAAGAGTCCCACAATAAAAAGTTTGGCGATCTAATAGACCTTTTGCAAGAGGAATGCCCGAATAAAAGTTATCAGCATATAAAGTTCGTCGGGCATCTAACAAGCTATTCATTAAGGTCAGCAAAACTTTCTGAGAATGGCTTTTGTTTATCATACTGTTTTCTTTTCCACAGTAAACCATTACTTTATATGTATATCCACTGTCGGTACATAGTTTATATAATTTAACGCCATATTTATGGCGTTTGTTTTTTATATATTGCCGCATACTCAAACGACCACGCCATGGTACCATACTTTCGTCTATGACTACATTCCGTCCTGGAGTCATGATTTTCATAAATCTGTCATTAAGTAAGTCTAAAACATGTCTGATTTTGTATAATTTATCGTTGCTTTTTAGTATACCGTCGTTATTTTGAAAATGTAGATACCGTAGAATTAACAAAAATCTGTCCCTAGGCATAACTGAGGAGATAAACTTATTGTTATAAAGGTCATTTTTGGACCAATATAATCGAATATTAGGGACCTTCACGAATCCCATGCAGATCACGATACTAAAGATTTTTTTAATTTCTTCTTTATTAGTCGGAACCCACTTACTGTTAGATTTTTGTTTAATACTGTGTACATCAATTTCTTGTTCTGCATATCTATTGGTTTCTTGAACAATTAATTCCAAAATTTCATCTGTGACAAATACACAAAAAATATCCAACGGGGTCATATTTTCACATTGAATATTTATTTTAGAATCTGTAGGATATTTATCAAAATCTAATTTATCTGTTTCCTGAATGTCAGTCCATACATATTTCTCAGCATCACCTAAAAATAAAGATAATGAGAATCAAATTATAAGATTCATTTTTATTCTTACCAATTTCTTTTTCCGATTCATAATTATCAGTTTCTATATCACTGGATACTTCTTTGTTCAAATACATGGATTCGTCCCCATCAGAATTGTCGCTATCTTTACTAGGAATGTATTCAGGATCTTCATCAGACAAGTTTTCAAATGGATCACTATCAGATTCACTTTCAGTTTGTATCCAAGCATTTTGGTGCTTGTTTAGCACCATTTTAACCATTTTTTCGCCTCTAGTTGACATTTTTATGGATTTTAATAAAAAACACTTGTACTTGTACAATGTTTACTATAACACTAATAACCAGATACGGAGTACTGGTAAATCCCATAGCGTAAAAAATTTCTGTGTGGGACGTTACCAGGTGCTGGCACCTGGTAACTTAAAACAGAACTAAAATATAAAGCACATCATGACGATTCCGTAGGTACCTATATCATAATATTTAGTTCATAATTAGCCATTTTATCGTTGTCGGCGCTAGCGCAAGATCTCCAAATTTCAGTGCCGGTTGAACGTAAAGTTTATACCAGACCCATGTATCTGGTAGCGGCGTAAACGTGTTTTAAAGAGGATTATTAGTAAATATTTCATTAGGACAGTCAGTCAAATCTTTTGATGACTGACTTGTTCACTGAATAGTCTCTTTCTTTCCAACACGAAAGACGTAAGGCAGAAAGGCATTAAAAACCTTACCACATAAATCCTATTTTATCTATATGTGTCCTGTTCTTCTTTGTTGGATGGAACTTTGTAAAAGTCTTATGGTGCACCACACACATGGGATGACAACTGCAGCTAATATGAAGAACCTAATAGCTGTTGAGACATAAAACGGGTTTGATCCCGGCATCTACATTCTGTTATCCTGTGACGCCATAATCAGCAATTAACCACTATATTTTGCAGAAATTTGAAGCCAATAAAATATCCAGTGATGAAATAAATATCCTTTTATATTTGTAAAACTTATAGGCCAGATTTGTTTTGTTTAATTTTATTAAAATTTCAATTTTTATATTTATGTATGTATAATAAATATGATTAGTTAATATCTTGGCTAATTGTCCCAGCCAAACTCATTTTTCAGATTTACTTCTAAGATAAGACGTTATCACACCTGAGAGACTGGGCTAGACAATGTCTAACAATTGGCTCCCAAAGAAAGTTGTGAGTTTTATTGTTTTACATTGCCTCTCAACTTTCGGAGGTAGTTATATTGTTACCTATTGGCACTCACTATTTGTTGGGTCGTTCGAAGGTTACCAATTGGCGACCAACGTTTTGAATGGGTAGTTAAAGGTTACACATTGGCACCCAACGTGGGGCTCCACATTTACGAATTTAAAATAATATATAACATGTTGTTTTATATAAAATAAAGTTAATAAGAAAACTTCAAAGTTAATACGTAACTAAAGATGTCGAGATTCTTCTTGTTCTTGTTTTGACCGCCTCACCGATTGCATGACAGTTTTTGATCTATTTTTTATGCCATTGTCTTAATTTTTTAAGTCATGATGTTCTATTTCTCCTAGGACGACGTTTACCTGGGATCTTTCTCTCTATGATGTGCTGTAAAAATTCATATTGTTCAGGATATCTCAGAATACGACGTTTTATTATACTGACCAGTGTTATTGGTTCAGCTATCCAAGACCTTCCTTATATTCTGACTCTGTTAGATTATCTTTACTAATTGTTTATAAGTTGACTTCTCAAAGGCTTGCAAGCATTTAAGCATGAAGCTTGCTTAGAATCTCCTCTTCTACTCTAAAGAGGCCTTTCCCTACCTTCGTGATATGGTGTGAATTTCATGCGTGGATCGTGTGAATAATGTTTTACATAGAATGAGTAAGGAATACGAGATTAGTCTTCGTAAATGTGTATATTTATTTAAAAAACCCTTAAAAGGGCTACATCAAAAAAACAAACGTTTTCGGACTAAACAGTCCATCATCAGGTAAAATTGCCTAAAATAAGTATAAACCATTTAGTTAAAGCAAACGTGTTTTTTTAAAATTTTGACTAGGGTTAAAAAGCAAAAATGGTTATACTTACTAGGTTAAAATGCCTGAGCCACCAAAATACCAGGGTAAAAACCCTTTAAATTACATGTAGTTATTAAAGATTGTACATATTGTTGTTATAAAACTGTGATGTTAAATATTAAATTGAATTTGACTTCAGGTAACATGCTTGAAGTGAGTTCCAGTGTCCGGAGAGTAAACCTCTTCAAACGGACTACAGCTGGTAACTGATTGACAAGATACCCATGAACAGTGTCGAGAACAAAATGTCAATGCAACATGAAGTTATATTAGTTGTACATAGTATTACTGCAGCCAAAAGACTCAAAAAAATTTTTTCAATGATATTAAAAATAATAACAGCAATCCAGGTGTTGGGATTTAAATACTTTTTATTTATTAATGTAGGGTATAAAAGATGTGGAATTACCGTTGGTGTTAAAGTCATGTTTAAGAGAATGACATGTGCATTAGGCAACCTATGTTACTTTTTGTCGTATGGAATGTGGTCTAAAAGTGTATTTTATGACCACATATTATGGATAGAACTTATTATACACAAATATTTGACATGGGCGTGGGCTGTGTTCAATATATGCGTTAGTATTGAAAAACGTGTACTTGGACTAGGTTGGACCATACGTGGGCTGCGCGTGGGATGTGCGTGGGCTGTGCTCAATTTGCGCCGGGCCTTAGTATTTCCCCTGCCATCCACTCTCGTTTTCATTCTTACTTACGTTTTTAACTTACTCAATGTTGTTTCCTCAACGTTCTTAAATATTTTTCAGTCTGTTCCAGTTTTCCTTCATACATTCCCCTTTGCTTATTGTCAACTTTATTTTTTCTTCTAATATAGGTTTGTCCTTGTTTTACGGTATCATAAACCGTCTCTATCAATAGCCAGTATTTGCTTTTTCACCCTTGTAATCTTTTTTAATCAGTCTAATTTTTCTACCCACATGTTGTGATTTGTCGGTATATCTCCAGATGAATAGGTTTTTACTGCTATTACTAAATTTCTGCCTTTTGTTTATACATACTGATGTATTCTATTTGGTTACGGACCACTCGTAGTTACTTGTGATCTCCACTATGTATACTGGCGACACTTTGCGGGTTTGAAAATTATATTTAAGATTACTAATTGCTTCCATGTTTTTCTATGGGATTCCAGTTCGCCTTCGCCAATCTTCGCATTAAAATCATCCACGAAAAATATTGAGCTCGTGTTTCTTTTTAGATACTAATACTAAGAGGTGTTATAAGTGAAAATTACCAAAGGAAAAATATTACTGAAGTCGTATTTTTTCGCTACAAATAGTTTTTCCTAGATACACCTCTGCTTCCTTCTCTAAACAACCAATATTAAGTTTGGTATTGTCGAACAATGGAGTTAAATCCTTTTTTCGTTTACTTTATTATACAATGATTAATACCTGCCATTACGGTTGTTACCGCAACAGCCTACAAATTAATTGAAAGTCCAAGTTATAAAGTACTTACACACCGTTAAAACAATTTGATTTATTAATCTATAGTTAACCACATTTTTTATGCTTTTTCAATTGATTATGTTAAATTACGATATAGATAAAGGATTAATAGATATGAATAGATGTTTTATTTATACTCATAATTGCTCAGACAACCATTAGAGAGTAAGTTTATGGAAATGGATAGAAGAATTATAGGAGTGAATTATAGAATTATAAGAAAGTTTGGGAAACACTGCCTTGTATTTGGAAATGGCCTTGATAATTATTTTGATAGTCTATATTTTTCTAATAGTACTTACCCATCAAAATAATATTTTATGTGTAGGTTAACCAAAGTATTGTTTAGAATTCAAGGACACATTTATATCTTATAAACCAATACTGTGGTTTTTAATCTACAAAAATTCGACAACTTTTTACATTGAAAAATTTTATTTACGTCGATGGACCACCACAAAATAACAACTCATTGATAACAAATATCCACGAAATAAAACAATGGGATTGACTACTAAAATATTCAAAGGACTAATTATGATGTAGTGAGATAGTATTGATGCTCTCTTATAAACTTTAGTTGTACAAGTTAATACTTGAAGACAAGTATTTTACGCGCAAGTAAGTATAACTCAAGTACATAATACTTAAAACAGTTACATTCTGAACCAATTGTTTTTTGTTAAAAAAGAGATTGAGATATAACATTATTTTTTTCTAAATGCCTTTTCCTAAACCCAATTGCAATTAAAGTTTCTCATTTTATTGAAAACACTTTCAGCTGTTTAGATGCTTATTCAGATATTTCTTGTTTGATTACTGTTACATGTCATCCTAGTCCCCAAGTAGTTATAGTTTTCTATTTTCTGGAATTGCCGGCTACGTCAACCCGAGTGTCTGATAAAGCAGGGATGCTGAAATGAGTCATAACACTCTATGTTAGAAAAAAGCAGTTACGACGGAACACATCTCTCTAACTTCTCTTTTTATATGTATTTTTTACTACTACTTAGTTTTTCTCTATGTTTATTTGAATCTGATAATCACTGTATAGTTTCTGTATAAAATGAATATCCTGGAAATCAGTATGCTGGAATTATAGTATAGATAGATAGATAGATAGGTTTATTGACAATTTTTACATAGTAAACACTACATGTCATGTCACAATAAAAATAAGTCACTTTTGTATACATAGGAAATAATTAAAAAATAATACAAGAACACATAATAAAACATATACAGTGAAAATTAGATATGTAAAATTATAAAAAAAAAAACAATTGAGTAAGGCGTAATATAGTTTTCATAAAAATGACCACACTAGGAGCTCAAACAAACAAATTCCTGTATACTATAGAAACAGTGTTCCAGCAGGAAGTGTTTTGCTAGTTTATAAAATTGTTGTACTGATGTTGATCAGCATGTGTTTTTACATCTCGTATATTATTATGAACAGTTAACAAAGTTTCAAATATAAACTGGGGTGCAAAATTAACCGGACACTTAGATTTTTTTGCTTTTTGTTGGTGTTTAGATCAAAACTTGTTTAAGTTTGATTGAACTGTATTTTATGTCATATTAGCGGTACCATTTTTTTCTTGTTTGAACCTGTGTGGATGTTTTGTGCGAACATCAACACTTTTACACATGCGTTTTGTTATTAATGTGAAATAATGGATTAGTATTATTTAAGTTTATATTATGGTACTGTGCCTGA